GAGGGTGGTGAAGCACTGGAATGCTTTACCTAGGGAGGTGGTGGAATCTCCTTCCTTGGAGGTTTTTAAGGCCCGGCTTGACAAAGCCCTGGCTGGGATGATTTAGTTGAGAATTGGTCCTGCTTTGAGCAGGGGGTTGGACTAGATGACCTCCTGAGGTCCCTTCCAACCCTGATATTCTATGATTCTATGACCTAGCAGATCACCAGTCCAGATAACATCAGAGGAACGTCACATATACCTTTATAGTATTCATCACCATATATTTTTTGACAGGTTTTCACGCCCCATTTTGGGCTTATGTCCCACTCTCCGTTCCCATTTCCGTTAGTGTCGAGGTTTGGCACCTGTTTATAGAAGTAATTTATAGTGATAAAAAAGTTTTCCCCTGTGTTTTACACTAATATTTGTCATTTTTAGTAAGGGCAATTTGGAGTAGCATGCTTTTACAGCAAAGACAGCGTTAGCAAAAACAGCTTTTGTAAGCCAGTCAGTGTAATTGTTGCTTTGTAGGCACTGCTACAGAGTATCTTTAAGTTTGTTTTTGTTAATATTTCTGATAGGCGGTTGGATGGGGGAGATAATATCTCATAAAGTGGGAAAGTGTTTTCGAATGACAAATGCTTGCCTGTGCTAAAGCATAACAACTAACACAGAATGGCTGCCTACAAACTTTCATTCTGCTGCCAGCGGGGCTGAAATAGTAAGGAGGCAATGGCCCTGGAGTTAGAGGTCTTAACAAGAGGGGCTTTCTGAATGTTTGAAAACACAATGTGGAGGATATTGGCCTAAGAGATGTTATTAGTCACACAAACCATTCATTATAACACATTAATATTTCTCAATTGTATTTTTCAAATCAGTAATTCTCAAATCTGCTGCTGAAATTTTTGAAATCATCATTTCCGTATTCTTATCAATTCTAGCTAAGGCTTACTGCATCAGTTTTTGACATCAGTGAATGGTTTCATTTGTTATGGCGGAGCATATGCTTTCATTCTCTGAAATCTCCTAAAGTCAGTTGGCTTGTGCGAGAAATTAGGAAGGCAGCCACAGGGCCTGGGTCCAACTCTGATGAGTTTTAAATAAGACTCATTATGTCTAGCAGGAAAAATTATGATTCTTATAGATGGAGTCATCATACCAAGTGGAGAAACTATGGCTCAGTTAACAGAGACTAACCAAATATATCACTGGATAGAAAAGCAAGAAGCAGAACTGCCCAACCATATATAAATATATATATATTTAGCTCTGCACACTAACATATCCTTGTTAGTATAAGTTAGTGTGACATTATTTTCCTTCTTTTGTATTATTATAATTTGCAATGACATTGTCCTTGGTCTCTGTAGACACTGCATCAGAATTTTATTCGTTGTTAAATTAAGCCTCTTTTTGCCCTCAGCTGATGCATGTCTGATCTATTTTTGTAAGCATGCAGTCTTCTGAAATTCACAAGAGCAGAATCTTTTTTTTTAAATAAACAAATAATACGTTCATTATTTTACAGAGTAAACAAACGGGCACAATCCCAGTATTGCCAGCCTCAAACATTAAACAACCACGAGCAAGACCCCCGCCCACCCACCCAAATGAGATTATTTTTAATGTATTTTGATCTGTCTTGATTTTTGACCTCTTCCTGCCCATCCCCATTGTGTGTATATGACAATTAGCATTGCCAACGCTCCCAAAAGTATTCAGCATTTGGTCCCTGTTGCAGGAGTTCTCACCCCCACTTCTGCCTTGCTGACTCATCCCTGCTCCTCCCGCAGCTCCTAGGAAGCTTCTTCCCACTCTCCCAGGCCTGGGGTGAGCTGCAGTGGGGTCCCTCTTCTCCCCCTTCTGTCCCTTCCCAGGTCTGGTGTTGCAAGGGAGGGAGAGTTGAGAAGCAGCGGAACTGCCCCATTGATCACAAAAGATGATGGGCAGGGGGAGCAGTGCCATTCTGAGCTGTTGGGCTTTTTATGCTCCCTGTTTTTCTCCCCTATCCTTCTGTGAAAATGGTGGTGCCTACAGAACCACTCATCGCCCTGAGGCAGGGCAGTGGGGAAAGGAGCCCATCAGAGGGGGTTTCCCCAAGGCAGAGTTGAAATTCATTGGATGGCTGGAGCTTCTCACATCACTACTAGATTGGCTCTGGCCCCAGCCAAAATCACAAGAGTTGGCAACCCTGGTTCTGCTTTGCCAACTATTGCCCCCCTGAAATCTAAACACCCATATTCCCTACATAGTGTCTCTGAGAAGCAGTAATTTAGACGCATTTTGCAACACAAGTTCAACTAGCGTTGCCACCCCTCCTGATTTCTTATCCTATCTCCCAGAGGCTACTGAAGCCAAACCGGGAGATTTTAGGTGCTGACACTCCGGCAGCACAGCGGGGCTAAGGCAGGCTCCCTGCCTGCCCTGGCCTCGCGCCACTCCCGAAAGTGGCTTGCAGCCCCTGGAGGAGGAGAGGGAGGCAGGTGGCTCTGCACTCTGCCTCCCCCTCAGCTCCGACTCCGCAACTCCCATTGGCCGGGAACTGCGACAAATGGGAGCTGCAGGGGCGGTGCATGTGGACGCGGGCAGCACGCAAAGCTCCCTGCCCCCCCCCCCCCCAGGGGCCGCAGGGACATGCCAGCCATTTCTGGGAGCAGTGTGAGGCAGGGAATCTGCCTTAGCCCCGCTGCGCCACTGACCGCAAGCCACCCAAGGTAAGCACCTCCCAACTGGAGCCTGCACTCCACACCCTCTTCTGCACTCCAACCCCCTACGCCAGCCTGGAGCCCTCTCCTGCATTCAAACTCCCTCCCAGAGCTCTCATCCCCTCCTGCACCCAAACTCCCCCGCAGAGCCCTCACTCCCACCTGCACCCCTACCCCCTGCCCCAGTCCTGAGTATCCTTCAGCACCCAAACTCCCTGCCAGAGCTTGCACCCCGCAACCCCTCCTACATCACAAACCCTTGACCCAGGCTCAGCCCAGAGCCCTCTCCCACACTCCAAACCCCTTGGCCCCACCTCCCACCCCAGAGCCCACACCCCTTCCCGCACCCCAACCCCCTGCCCCAGCCCAGTGAAAGTGAGGGAGGGTAGGGGAGAGCGAGCAACTGAGGGGGGGACGGAGTGAGCACAGTGGGGCCTTGGAAGGGGCGGGGCAGGGCAATGGTGTTTGGTTTTTTATAATTAGACAGTTGGCAACCCTAAGTTCAACAGGACAATATCCCATGTGGGAGAGTGGGGGGAGGGAGGCAGCTTTTCCTTGGCTCCCCTTCTGCCCTGCCACAATACCCAGGCTGCATGAAGCTAAGCTCCATAATTATAAGCATAGAAGCACTAGAGATAGCTGAAATTGAGAAAAAGAAAATGTTGCAGCGTAGCCAGGCTTCTGTTCAGCACAGCTCCTACTTCCTTTTCCATGGTTTCGTTTTCCATACCATATAGTAGAGGGAAGCGGTCAACACTTACAGAACAAATTGAAGGCTTATAACTGTTTAAGACGTTGTGGTGGCAGGGTTCTAAAGTTTGGCATAAAATTAATTGCTGTACAGCTTCAAGATTTACTTGCGTATCTTCTCACAAAGCCAGCTGTCAATTGAAGAGGGAGGACACATCTCAGAGGCAAAGGTATTTACAATATACTGCTACACCAAGTCAGAGCATTTTATGTCCAATACTTCAGAGCAATGCTAGTGAACTTCAGAATGCAACTCGTCAGTTTCACAGTGTAGATCATAGCTTGTTGGGATTCAGATGGGATTTTCTATCAGTTTATACCACAAAGCATGAGATTTGCTTCCATTTATTATTTTAGTTTGCATAGTTAAAATGTCATTAATAGTCCTATAAATTGCCCCAACTATTTTAAAATCTAGCCAAAACATTTGTCTCAACAACTGCTCAAGGGAGTGAATTCCATGGGTCAACTTTACTGCTGTGCAAAGAATATTTCCTTATATTAAATTCTAATTGCACTATAATATTGAGTGTCTCCTTATTTTAGGGCAAAATGAAAAGGGATCACTTCTGTATTTATTACACCTGTCCTGCATGAGGCAAATAAATGGACATGTGTAAATACAGGGAAACGTAAATAATGGCCAAAGAGACTGCTGATCATTTGACAGGTATTCACATAACACAAGCAGATTATTATAACAAGGAACTACTAGCATGTTCCACTATATTTGACATTGTAATCCATATTAGAATATATCTTAAAAGAACCAGGCTTAGGTATACAGGCTGGACACAGAAGAAGAGATCCCCCCAAAGACACTGCCTGGGCACAATATGGTGAATTTCCTTGCTTTTGTGGATTTTATCCAAGTAATTTTGCAGGCATAAAAAAGGTGACACATGCCACTTGATATCTTTAAATGGAAAATACAACAGTCATTTCTTTAAACAGCAGAACTACTAATGCATTTGCCCTATCTAGCATATTGGCCAGTGAAGAGCACAGTCCTAACATCGGAATCTGCTAGCATACCCCAGCATTACTTCAGTGGGACTTCATCTAGGTTGTAGAGTCCTATGTTAATGCATCTTGATGTTTAATTACACCTTCTCATTAAGCTATTTCAAGACCCTGAATTAAAGAGATGCCATCAATTAAAAAACCCCACACTTCTGTCTCTATTTAACCTATCATTATTAAAAGTAGCTCCTAAGACAACTGGAACTTTATTCTCTCCCTCTCACAAGGTTTACTTTGTGTATTTTGCACTATTTTCTGTATAATTACATCCACTGACTACAGTTGATTTTCCCTGTTTGCATAATTCTTTCACGCAGCAGCAAGGGAGAGAATTTTTTTTAATAAGAAAAGGTGACTGCAAGATTAAAAAACACTGGTGGATCAATCAGAGGCAGCTGTAGGACTGGAAACTACTGAGATACATCTAAAAGTTAAGCAGAACACAGTCCTGCTTTCAATACATTAAGATATAATCATATGAAAACAAATAAGAAACACAAGCCCGATGAATGTTGCTAAAGTCTGTAAAATACTCACGAGTTTGGGAACGTGTCTGCAGAGAAAGCATCAGCGGAGAGCTGCCACCAATGACAGCAAATCACGTTCTCCCCAGAGCCCGCCCAGTCCTGTTTCACTTTCGGTTGTTACGAAACGAATGAAGACTAGTTAAACCGCAGCAGGACTCAGTTGCTCCAGCTGTGACTGCCTGAGACTGAAGCTAATCTAGGAATTACTGCAGGGAATTCTTCCTTCTACGCACTGTCACGCTGTTAGGTTTGCAAAGAAAAGAAAACTACGGCGAGGGGGGAACGCCAGGGACTCGGCGTCGTGGGCTGTCAACGCTATACACCCAGCTGTTTATCAGCCCATAAAGGGGAAGGAAAACGTGCAACCCTTCTATACAGAGTCCCCTCCCCCCTGCACAGCCAAATTGTGGCCCTTCCCGGTTAGAGCGCTGCAGACGTGGCTCCTGGGAATGCCTCACCAGAACGGGCTGCTTCACTCCCTTCCCCGTCCCTGCGCCCCAAACAGGAGGCGTTCCGGCAAAGCAGCCCCCAGTAGAGGAAAGAGTTGGCCCTTAGGAAAAAATGTGTGGCAGAGCAAAGAAGGAACCCCTTGAGAACAGGTCCTTCGCTCCGAGAGGGACTCGCCACGAATTGCCACCGAAGCCCCGGACGTGCCGCCCCAATAGCGGCTGGAGTGCCGCCCCTTGGTACTGGCTGCCCCAAGCACCTGCTTGTTTAGCTGTTGCTTGGAGCTGGCCCTGGACCTATGCACATTTAATAAGCAAACAATGTGAGTGAGTGTAACCATGCATTTCAGCTTTAAAAGGAGTGTAAAGCTACGCTAGCGAAAGGGCACTAGCCTTCACAGCTCCAGCGTGGGAGGTCCTCTGTTTATCTCCAGGGTAGCAGTAATCCCTCCTGAGCTTTCAACTGGAGACCTCTAGAGGAAAGGCTCTGTAATTCATTAGCTGCATGTCTTGCAGGTAGAACAGGAGTACTTGTGGCACCTTAGAGACTAACAAATTTATTTGAGCATAAGCGTTCGTGGACTACAGCCCACTTCATCAGATGCCCACGAAAGCTTATGCTCAAATTTGTTAGTCTCTAAGAAGCAACAGAGGGTCCTGTGGCACCTTTGAGACTAACAGAAGTACTGGGAGCATAAGCTTTCGTGGGTAAGAACCTCACTTCTTCAGATGCAAGTCTCTAAGGTGTCACAGGTACTCCTGTTCTTTTTGCGTATACAGACTAACACGTCTGCTACTCTGAAACCTGTCTTGCAGGTATCACCCAATAACTGCAGTTTTAAGGGAGAGGGGAAGGAGGCTTTATTTTATTTATTTGCTAACTAAAATCTACACTAAAAACATTGCAAAATCAAACACTGGGAAGTTAAGCATAATGATGTCCTGTCCTGTCTGTAGAATCTTAATTCTGTCAATTTGTGTATATGAACTAGAACAGTCCTTGTTACCATTTTCCCTGCATGGTTTTGTACCAAGGACCTTCAGCTTCACCTCTTTCATTTAAGCTCAAGGAGTAACTAGTATATAGTAGAAGTAGGCAGTTATCCTCTCGGAGGAGGGAGAATCATTAGAATGAGACACAGCCAACATCCCATGACTGCCAAAGTTTACCTGGATACCTGGGTTCTTATTCTTAGTTCAGGGAGCAGCAGAGTGTTGTCTAATGGTGACAGCAATGGGTTTCAGCATATAGATTTGACACATTCATTTTAAAAGGCAGTGTGATACAGCAGACGTGGCTCTGTCACATTAGCAACCTAGTTTCTTCTCCCGCCTCTGCCTGGAATGACCTTGGGCACTCTCTCAGGTACTCCATTTATAAAATTTAGGAAATGATAGTTGTCTCTTTCCTAGCATACGGATACAAGATCTTGGTCATTAATAATAGTTCTGAACTACACAAAAATATTATTACCAGTTAGTAGAAAAACCTAAGAGCAAAACTCAAATCTCATCCTCTCCTGGAAACTTGTGCCCGGCTGTGCAGACTGTATAAGCAGTATCTTGGCTTCTCCAGCAGGAAATCTGTATGGGTTCCTGCTCGAGTCTGTTTCAGTTAAGAGGCTCAAATGTCACTTCGTAAAGAGCAGTATTTATTTAGTGTTTGCGTACTCGCCAAGCCAAGCAATAGTGTTCTTAGTGGCCAAATGGAGCTCTCGAACCCCACTGCTGAATTTGGTTAGTGGGCACTCCTCGACAGTGTGTATAACTGTTTGATCTGCACTGCAGCTTGGATTATCTCGAAGACCTCGACGGTGCTGGTTGGCTGCACAGAGGCCTTGCCCAGTCCGGAGTCAGTTAAGAAGGGCCCACTCACGATGTGGCTGGCAAGCAGTAGGCGGGCAAGCAATAGGGTCAGTGATGAGGAACTGATTGGTGGTTGGTGTTAAGCACCAGTCTTCCCTCCACAAAAGCAGCATTGACCTGGGACCTACTGCCCCCCTCACTGGAAAGCAGTGTGTGTGAAACAAACACTTGCCTAAACACAAGTTTCAGCTAATGCAAAAATTTTAATTCTTCTTCTTCTGATTAAAGAAATGGCCTTTTCCCCCTAAATCAACAGGTTTCATAAGAAGCTTTTGGGGTTTCGATATATTCTGTTTTTTTTTTCAAGTCTGAATATTTTGATATTTGAAATATAGATGCCTTCCTCTTTTTCCTTTTTGTCACTGAATGCAGTAGAGTGAATGATATTTAGAGAGATGGGATTTTTTCACTTTTCATTTTTCTTTATTTCCCATTTTCCCTTTTGCCACTCTGTAGACTGTAACTTTTCAAAACTTCCTCAACTATGGAAAAGCTACAGAATTAAAAAACCCAATATTGGGCATCATGAATTTTATTACACTCAGTGGCAAAGAGGGGGAAGGAAGGAGGCATACACAAACATTTGTTTTTTTTTTTAAATCAAAAAGTGAAAAAAAAAATCTATTTCAACCCCGGCAAAATGGAAACACTTTAAAATTGTGATTTGTGTATGTGTGAGTGTGATTTTTTTTTCCTCCCATTTTTTGACCAGCTCTAACAAGCTTCCTCTGGTTGCTTTTGAGAAATGTGTTTCTCTAGCATTTAACAGGTTACAATATAGTTGCCAATTTCATTATAAAACCATACCGAAAGTAAAAATACATTAGTAGTATGTAAAAATTATCCAGGTGTCAGATAATATTATGCTACAGTGTGCTTCCAATACCACCTGCATTCCCTCAACATTTAACTCTCATCAATTTTCTTAATTATATAAAAATGTGCTTCCTAGTTACACAAAAGGCACTTTACAGCTGCCTAAACACTACTAGCCATAGCATGGTGCTTATTTATAGCATAAATTATTCTGGTACATTGACTACCAGCAAAATATCCCTTTTTAATTTATGCAAGTCCCATTTCTAGTGGACACAGGCTATTTGGCAAGATATTGACAATTACTCTCACTAATGAGCAACTAAATTACAATTTAGTAATTTAAGTGCAGTGACAAAAAAAGTGAATAATTTACAATATGTGTATATTAAACTGAAAGTATAAGTATGAATGTAATTTTAAAATAAAAATGTTATTACTGACATATAATAATATTAAGCACCCCAATTTAAAAAATATCACCTTCCCTGCAATTGTGGCTCCACTAGAAGAAATCAGTTTTTATTTGCGCTTCATTTCCAATGAAGTCAAGGTCAGTTTTGTCATGGAATAATGGGTGCAGGACTGGGCCCTAAAACATTGCTAATAGAAAAAAAAAGCACTATCAGCATCTATAATAGCCATGTGTTGTATATAAGAATCATAAAATCATATGGGACAGCAGGGAGAATAGGAATACTGTTCAATGTCTACAAGGCTCCATGTACAATACTTAATACAATGGTCCATGATTGGGGTTCCTAGGCATTACCACAATACAAATAACAAATAACTACAGAATACTAACAAGATGTGACTGTTCTCAGGATGCCCAGGATTGGGAGTCACTTTGTTCCCCCACCCCCAATGAGAAAGAGACACGCATGTGCTTAAATGGATGTTAGCTTCCCAAGACCACCAGCCTGTTAATCACCCAGACAATGTGGTCTGGTCTACACCAGCCCTTATGTTGCCTTTCAGGTTAACAATAGGTGCACCCCAGTCCCCAAGCTCCTTTGAAGCATTTTCCCTGTAGTGCCCAGGCCCTTAGCCACTGAAAACTCACAGTAATACCAGGTTTGCTGTCCCCAAGGAACACTGTACACACATTGATTCAACTTAGGATGTATTTGTAGTGAAATATTATAATGTAGATATATTTATAGTGAAAACAATCATACATTTATTATCAAAGATCAAGATTTAAGAGATAGTGAATAAGGATAAAGGAAATAGAAGGGTTACATATAAAACAATACACACTTTCTAGAGACTAAACTTAATAGGCTAATTACCTGTCTTGAACAGCTGTATTCCACTGAAAGCCTTCTGCAGCATTTCCAACTAAGGCTGTTGTGATCCCATTTTCATGAATGTAAGCATACTGTTTGTTTACTTCTTAGGTGCTTTCCTTGTCATCCCCAGTTATAGTCCAGTAAACCTTTGAAGTGCGCCCCCAGATAAGGCTCTTTTCCCATTGCTGTTCTTCTCTTCCTGTAAAATTTCACACGCATTCACATGCACTTAATGCAGACTGATGATTGCGAATGAGACAATACGGAGTTTATATTTCAATAGGTAGATGGATAAACATCTCTGGTCTGGCAGGAAATCAGTGTTTCACCTCTTCTGGGGATTAACACCTTGATACAAACTCTAAGATAACACCTAGCATAATGGGAGCACATACATTTTATGATGATATTCATAACCAGTGTGACACCAGCTTTCTTTTGATACTGGACATGACATTCTTTGGTGAACCAGGCTGCACATACCAGAATCAGGATATTCTTGTTACCCCTTTGCCAGTTGGCATTAAGGTTTTCTTAGGGTCACACATGAATATAAAAGAAAGTCAGCTGATGTTGAACAGTCCACCCTTGCATAAAAGCAAGAGTCCATGTGCTTGAAAGGGCAGATTTGACCTCAGGTATGTCCTCAAACAATTCTGCATAGGCCCACACTGCTTCTATAAACTCCTGCATGATTAAAGATGAACACGGTCCCTCATTTGCTCACATTAGTTCTTCTTCAGCCAGAGCGAAACTGAGGCCTTCCCTCCTTACACACCCTCAAGCAGCTAGCCTCTCTACAAATTAGAATGTTGCTAATGACACATTTTTGAATGAAATTCCAGGGTTTCATCATGATTTGTGGAAGTGTAGGGATGTAGAAGTCATTTGAGTGCCAATGGCACAAGAAAATATATAGAAGCGTGTTTGGGAGGGAGTCGCTTCCTGAGAATTTTTAACTAGAGCCATACCCCTGCATCCCAAAATATTTCTGCAGGTGTGAACTATTTGTCTGATGATATGGTGATGATATGACTACACGAATGTGGAGGAAAGAGTAGACTCTGAAGAACTGGCTGTTCTCCTTCCCTAATAGCTAGAGGAAGGGAGTGCCCAGACAAGAATAGAATGAGGAATGGCTGTACTTTTGTCTTCTCCCCAATGCAGCAATCAGTGG